AAAAAAAAAAAAAAAAAAAAAAAAAAAAAAAAAAAAAAAAATTAATACCCCACGCGAACTTGAACGAGAAACACCACGACAGGTTGTAGTGTAAAAAAAAAAATGCATTCAGATACCATCTCTCTGCCATCTGATTTGGGAGTCTGTTATTAAGAAAAAAGAAAAAAAAATGGAAAAAGCGAAAAATTGCCATTGTCTTCCACGTGAGGACACATGTACGTATGGTTACTGCTATACACTTTGGTATATACAATGGGAGGGAAAGCGAGATCGCGATAAAAGACTGACGTATATCTCTGTTGCCTTTGAGCCCAACTCGAGCGATTGAAAAACACACACATTCGATTTCTCTCTCACGAGAGAAATTTGTCCCGAGACGGCTCGCACTATCGAAAGAAGAATATTTATTGGCGTGAAAAATTTTTCTGACCTTAAAAATGCAGACATTTTTACCGTAGACCCAACGGTAATAATTACTGCAGTTCTTTTCTTCGAGTAGATAAGAAAAAAACCTCACCAATGAAAAAAAAAAAATTTTTATCATGTTAACACATCAGTTACAGAAAAAAAAAAAAAAAAAAAAAAAATTGGTCGTGACATTTTCGAGATGCGCTCGATCGTTAATCCGTAAACATGAACAGAGTAAACGTAAACCCAGTGCTCTGAAAGTACACATCGCAGCAGCGAAACGTGTTTTTGAATAATTAAATGCATCATATACACGCGAAAAACCGTCCGTAAGCGTATAGTTCCTACAATATAATACACGCGAGGGTTGAAGAAAAAAAAAAAGAAAAAAAAAGTTGGTACAGCCGCAGCGTGTGCGCAGCGCTGATTGAACGTCTTAATATGTAAAAACCGGGGAAATTGAATCGCTCGCGTTTTTTCCGTGTACTATATGCATATCGCAATTTTAATTGAATTTCGTACAGCTACTAGAAAAAAACTTGATTTTGAGAAAAATTTTGATAAAAAAACCAATGCAATCGATCTATACACTTTACGTCTTGTGCGAAATGATACTCACACCTCCACCTAATTCCATTCATAACGAACGAGAAGCCAATTGTTAAAAGAAAAAAAAAAAAGACACTTGCACTCCTCGCCGACGATGACCAATCTAGCCATGAAATACATTTTAAAAACTTAAAGGGACAGGAAAAGCATATACCTGCACGAAAGAGATAGAAAAAAAAGAACAGAACGAGTAAACCGAGTCATCAATGGGGGGGCAAAAACCGCGAGGCGGAGAGAAAAAATTCCCGTTCATAGCCATTGAGCCGCGACGTATGGGGGGAAAGATCCTTTTTCACACATTTATAACTTACGCACGTTGAAATAAAAAAAAAAAAACGCTCCTTAAACGCTGCTTTGTCCCCCCTCGTTTTTTTTCTTGTTACACGGAAAAAAGGGGGGGCTCGGGGGCATTTTCTCCTCCCTTCCAACGTACGTATACATATACAACCCAACTCGTGGCTCGCAGGCTGGCCGGTCTCGGCGCTGCCGACGCCGTTATTGATCTAGGCAGGCAGGCTTGCAAGCACACGAGCGAGTCTCGAAGCCACCACACACACATAGGCCACCTCGCCCCCTCCACTACCGTGTATACACCTCCTCAGCTGCTATCGCTACCTCTCTCCGTTTGAGCACACGATTAAGAAAATGAAATAAAAAAACAATAAAAAAAAGGTTAAAAAAAAAAGCGGACGGACACAATTGTATGGAGAAAGCCTCCCTTTTCCTTCGCTCTACGCGGGTGTGGTAACACACGATGACGACACCGTTTTTTTTCTCTGTTCTTAACAATGTACACGACACGTATGTATGCGTGATCGCGTGCGCGACCTCCTCTATTTTTTTTTTTTTTTTTTGTCCACGGTTTCTCGTTCAAAGGGCATCATTCACGCAAAGTCGAATCGGAATCGCATTAACCGAGGGATGCGTGTACCTGTCCTCCCTGCCCTACGGACGAGAAAAGCCCAGAAGTCGAGAAAGAGAGACTCGAGGGTGTTGGGTAATTTTTTTTTTTAAAAGAACCATTAATAAGCACTCGTACGTGTACATGGTGGGGAGGAGAAAAAAAAGCTGCGACATGTCGGATGGGAAGAGCGTAGAATGCTGGGGAGGGGGAGGATCACCTGTTCATGCGTGCATGGAACGCTCCACTTGGGGTTTCCCCTCTTTCTCTCTCGCAAAACCTCGTTCGACCTACCTTACCTTATATTTCACCCCCTGGGTTTTTTTTTTTTTTTTTTCCCTCGCACTATCACGTAGCTAATGAAAAACACTGACCTCCTCGGCTCACTGCCTCCTCGTCCTCATGCTGCGCGTGTACGTGCCACCGATTCTTCTTTCGCTTCGGCAACGATACTTTTTTTTCCCCCGTCCCAGGAGTATACTTTCACCACCACCGGCGAGCGAGCTTTTTTCCTCGCGAGCTTTCCTTGAATAAAAAAAAAAAAACAATGCAAATGATAGGCTCGTGGACGAGGAACGCGCGCACGACGAACCGGCGTACCTGTTTTTTTTTTGTTTGTTCATCCAAATGAGCCGGTCGTTTGGGAACGTGAAAAAAAAAAAAAAGGAAAAAAAGAAAATGAGGCCAAAAACAAGAAGCTGGTCAGAGTAGACGGGAGCAGATGCGAACTGCCAGGACGGAGCAGCCCGATGACTGTCCGCTGCTGTTGGTGGTGTACCAGCGGTGGACCCCCAACCATGGTAGTGCGCAGCCGCGTCTTTGGGCGCCTGCGTTGTCAACTTTCGCGGGTGGAAACGAGAGACACCGATGTATACATATATATATATATATAGACCGGGGGACAAGGAGGACGCACAGGTGGAGTACAGGGGTGTACGCAAGGGGGGGTACACAACGCACGTGAAACTATCGGTATATCATGTACGTGGGCGCCTCTTTTTGCTTCGAGTATCGTGTGTACACGCTGTTTCTTTTTTTTTTGTCGTTCGCGCTCTGTATAGGTTCTTTTGTCTCGCTCGTGTTTGGGATGAATACTGCACTCGAGGAGCGAAGGGAGAAGAAAATGATCGAGTCGACGAATCCGGTGGTGGGGGGGGGGGAGGGTAACCGCTATTGTATTTGGAGCGAAATGGGGATTAGCAGCGGGTGTCGAATATAACTATCGAATAAGAGGAGATTTTCCGGGGGTGTTTGTTTAACGGGGATTGTTGTTGCATGTTTTGTTTTGTGCACTACATTAATGTCAAGTGGTGGAAAATCCATTGTTTCAAAGGTACACATAAGTTTTTTACTTTTTTTTTTTTTTTTTTTTTTAACAAAAATGGATGACGGTGCCAAATGTATTTTATGGGCCATGCCCTTCTGTGATTTTACTTGATGTGATTATACCTTGTTAAATGATGATTAAAAAAATCAAGTGTTTTTTATTGTATTTAATTAATGAAAAAACTCGATCGTGTACTATAAAATATCCACATAACTATAATACAAATAATACAACATAAATTATTATGTGGATGTGGCATAAAGGCAAACAATATTTTATAACAGATACATTAGTGATTCGACAGACTTGTACTTACGTTACCTTCCTTAGTAACCGTAAATATAAACTATCCATCTCTACAATAATTTTTTATACAAGATTAAATTTTTACCCATTTTTTGAACAAATGAACGTTTATAACTTTGGAGCAATGGCTTATAAATTCAGATAGTATACACACTGTGGGTGCAGCTTTGTTATCGAGTGAGGAAATTTTTTTACAGAGGAGAAAAAGGATAAGTTTGTGGTGTACGTTCTTGGATGAATTTTTTTTGATATTTATACGCAAACGCTAAGAAGATTATACTTCGCGAGATGTACCCATGGAGATGCTTTTCGTCGTGGTTTTTGCGTACGTTCTTCAGGGAGTACGAGAAGGGATTTCGCGCACTGATTTTTTTTTTTTTTTACTACCAATGGTTAATGCAGTGAAAGGAATTTAATCGAATCCAAATGGGAAGCGATCGTGGCTTCCATGAGACAAGATCTTTTCAGTGATACTGTATGATTTTTGACAGTTAAAATATTGTCGTATATTTGGATATTAATCTTATTGTGAAATCGTTAATTAAGTTTTATACCTCTATACGTTAAAAAAAAATCAATTTCTTTTTATTTTCAAATAAGCAGCTTAAAATAGTATTTTTATCTGTGATTTGCGAATTAAATTTTACTCACAATAATTTTGGACAATCCTAAAAAAATTTGCTAAATTTAAATAATATAAAAAAACAAATTTTTTGAGATTTTTTAATGCACAAGTTATATTTTCGCAAATTTAAGTAAAATATATTATAAAAGAAAAAATTGTGTAAGAAAAATATGGGTACTCATATTTTATTATTGTACAACGTGATGTCATCTCTATCAAATCGCTCTAGTGATATAAATAGGAAAAAGGTATCCAAGATCTTCAACAAATAATCTTGTCGAGGTATAATTCCCGTGCTTTTTTTATCTTTTTATTCTTTCAGTTGCCATCATTTACTGTCTCGATACTGTTTTCATTTTGTAGACAAACAATACCAACCATTTCTTTAATCTCTAAAGTCCCAGGAAAAAACGCGATGCTAGAGCTAAGGGAGGATTTATTTTTTGTGTACTACGTTACAAAAACCAGATTCTTTAAGATAAAAGATAAAAAGAATTCGTGATACTAAAAAAATAGGGGGGGGGGGGATAAAAATAAATTTCTAGTGCAGCCACTTCAAAGCCGAAAATTGCCAACGCGTGGGCGGTAGATACTTTAATGTACTTATCTGACCCTGACCCCTTGATTTATCTCACTTCTCCACGAGCCCACATCAAAAGTGAGTCTCATCAGCGAATCCATTAGTCCTTTTCCACGTTATCCCACCTCCCATCGGAGATGAAACACGCTTACCCAATACGTGATAACGTTGGGATGGTAACACTACACCCCTGCGTCTCTCACGTTAAAAGGTATACCCTTCTGAAAGTGACCACACGCACTCAAGTCTGGAAGCGCGTCGAGCTAAGAGCTTTATTAGTCGACCCTACATCGATAACGTTTTCCCCTTTGCCCGTGTAAACGTGAAAGCGCAGAGAGAGAAAAATGGCAAATACAGAAGCGCAGTCGGTCGATTTCATACGACTTTTCTCCCCTGGCGGGAGGGGTAGGGGGTTAATGGCTGTGGCAACCTGTGTTTTTTATGTTGTGGAAATGCAATTTCTCTATGGGTGCAGGCTAAAGTTTTAGTACGACCATGGGTGCCCATAAAAAGCTGATGTATTTAATTATTGTTGTAAAATATTATTAGTGATTCATTGAAAATTCAAGTGCACTTTAGATTAAAAGTAAAATAAATTGTGTATTAAAAACACTGTCAGCCACTTAGATTTTTAACGAGTTTCTAGTGGTAAATCTGTGCGTTGGTGCAATATGTGTGTGTTAACTGATGTGCTTATAATCGTGAATTTTTTTTCCCGACTTGGTTGCAATAATTTTTTTTTTAAGGCAATGTTTTTTACCATCACCTATTTTTTTGTCGTGAAACAAAATGTTTTTTCATTCGTTAATACAGGACTACCATTTGGTATTATTTTTAAAAATATGGCACGTACCACTGTCAAGTGTGTGAATTAACGAACTATTTTCGAAACTTACAATAAAAATCACTATTTTATTCGGAACAGGAACCACGTGAAAAATAATTGTCTTTGAAATTCATATAAAGTGCAGCTTGAACGAGAAAAATGCAACTGCGTATTCCTTTTTCCCATGTTCTCAAGTTGGGAAGTAACAAAGAAGCTGGAACTATTTCTCGGTGGAGCCGTCGAGGCAAAAGAAAACTCCTGAAATTCTCCTTCAGAAAAAGCTCACGCCACCTGCTCCTTTTAAATCACGTAACGCTTGCTCTCCTTCATCTCGAGAATTTTCATGCAAAAATTTCCAACAATACATTGCGTTCTCATCCTACACTCTACGTGTTACTGACGCTCGGGAAAACCAGAATCAGCAGTTTAACTTTTTCAGTTTGACTTGCTTCATTTATCCAATAATTTAACTTTGCTGGTAATTTCAGCACTGCCATTTTTTTTTTTTTTTTAATAATTTCATGAAATTCTCAAAAACACGTTATTACTTTTTCGACTAAATTGGTGTAGTGCCATCAAACGACTTGAAAAACTGTAAATTTTATTATTTTTTGGACACTGAATTATGAAAAAAAAGAAAAAGATGACGTTGCAAATGTATCCTCACGTGCAATTTCGCGTGCTTACTACAGTTTTGCAAAAAAAAATTTGGAGCCTGAAAAATTGACAACTGAACAGAAGAAAAATAAAAGAAGTCGATATTTTTAATTTACGGCCTTGCCGCTCGAATAAGAATTCTCAAAGAAAACGAAAATTAAGCAGAAATTAACATCAACCCATTAATTAACTGTACCTAATTTTATTTTAAATTAAAAACATTTTTTTACAATGTGTGATTTTCCAAATGATTGTGTTGGCAGATAACAGTAATAAACATAAAAAAAAGAAAACTGAAAAATTTTTTAAACAAAAAAGTATCCCGTTAAATGTTACAAATAGTACTTATACTTGGACAGTCTAATTTTTAGTTTGAACAAAATGAAAAAAAAGTTAACATCACTACGCTACTCTACCATCTCGACTATCATCTGTTTTCCCATCACGAACTCGACGTTTTTCTTCCCCACAGCCAATAAGCCTACGAAGTAAGTAGGTGCGATTAGAGGTGACGGAAAAAAACATAAGAGATACGATCCTCTTACAGAGAGGACGAGTGCCCTCTTAGCCACTGATACGTAAAGTTCCCTCACCTCTGATTACTTTTCCATTCCACAAACTTACTTTTTTTTTTTTTTTTTTTTTTTTCAAGAAAACTTTTCATTTGGGAATCGACGCTTCGGGTACTCTGAATACAGCGAGGCAAACTTTTTTTTTATTTCATTGAAAACTTCTTGGCAAGAGTTCCAATGAGCGAACAGCAAGTATTGAAATCGGACACCGATTCTGATGAGCTTCTCTTCGAATCACTTCTCTACGTTCACCATAAAATTATGGTTTACGCTTTTCAATGGCATTGTACCCTAGTAAAGGCTAACTTGTTAAATTTATTACATTTTAAATCTTATAAAATTTTTCATAATTTATTTTTATATTATAACCTACAGTTATTCAGTAATTTCTGGTTTATTTTGTATGCACATAGTAATGTTGCAAAAATTAGTTTATGCAAAATTATGTTTCGTTTTTCGATTCTTCCAGTCAGCGTATAAATCAATGTGATTGAAATTGATACACATGATGTAGTGGAAAATACCTGGATGATCTGGAAGACAAAGATTTAAAAAATAAGGAGAATGGTATTTTCCATCCACAGCAGTAAGAAATCAACAAATTTATGAAAATAAAATAATGAAAAAGGAGAATGCAAAAAGTAATGTACTGAATACAAAGATTTGATTGAAAAAAAAAAAATATTTCTTCCAAACAATTTTTCCACAATTAAGTAACCCCATAAACACCCGATTGTATACCTCTCAACCGCAACTCGCTGATTCTCCCCAAGCTCATTTGAAAAAAAAAAACAAAAATTATCACCACCAGCACAAACCCCTTGTTTTATCAGTCATGAAAAAAAAAA